CGGATAAAAAAAGAAAGGGGAAATATTTCACGGGACGGAGGTAGTAATTGAGTGGGGAATTTGCTTCCACTGAGGGAATTGCTCCAGTAGAAGGCGACTTGTAGGCCCGGTGGCACCTTCGTAAATTCCTCAACAGCTTTGACCAACGTGCGCCAAGCGAAAGCTTAAGCCCCAAACTTTGACCAATTCAAACCTGCTGCCTACCTCAGGAATGACGCACACCCCTATGCTCTTAGAAATTACGTAGTACTCCGTATTCTCTAGATTCCATGTACTCCCTCCGTCCCGAAGTATTTGTCTACTTTCATTTTTGCACACTATCCAATGTAATTCTTTAATCTATTTTATCTTGTAATTTGTATATTAACAGATTATAAAAATTATATATTAATAATATATATGTTAAGACAAATCAAACAAGATCACACAGGACTATTTTTAGGCTTACACATTGAGAGAATTTGATGAGTCAAAATGCTTAGATGAACAGTTCCAAAAGTCAAAAGTGGACAAACACTCAAAGAAGGACCAAGTAGTTGGTTTTTGCTAGGGATACACCAAAATATAATTTTGATAAGTATACCAGGAAAACACACACATTAAATATTTGTAATAACAAACACTTAATAATTGTGTTTACTTGATGTAGAGATGAAGTTACACCATTTTGGTTAGCTCAACTCACTCCGTATATACTTTTCTTTTGAGTATATTAGGAAATAAATGAATATAGACATTAGGTATGTCTACGTTCATTCTTTTTAAAATATCAAAAATATCTTAATCAAAAGTTAACATGAATCGAGGAGTACTCATTTGCATAACCTAACTGGCAAAGACTTTGATGAGTTTAAAGCATGTTAAGTTGGTCGTTTACAAAGTAAAAAGTTTGAATCCCACGCGTAAATTGTGGATTTATATGCGAGATCAGTAAGCAAGCTCTTGAACTCTATTTACTTGATGCGCTCCTCTTTTACTCTTTCTCTCGAATAAACTTCTCTTCATAACTAACCCTCTACTAATGAATAAAAAACAATCATAATAATGAACAACTTTCTCACTTTTTGAAAACAATTTGTTTTAATATTTCATTTCAAACTTAAAGTGCTTCTAAATTTGGTTTTACAGAGTAGTATTCTGTCCATATGTCTATCATTTTACTCAGTAAATATCCAGCAATCTCACTGCAACTATGTTTCTAAAAAAACTATCAGTTCAATTAATATCAATGCAGAATACTTTAACCCCACAATATCACACAATTCATTTTAAATAACTACAGAGAATAACAAATTTTTAGGATCTGTCACTTTATTAAATGAATCATTATAATTTTGTGAGTATCAAAAGTAGAATAAATTTTAAATGTGAATGGAGCTGAGAGAGAAGTTATTTTCGCGAAAGAATGACTTTCTTAATCTATCGGCTAAAATCTAAAATCTTAAATTGGAATTTTAAAACTTCTAAAAAAAAGTTGCAATTCTCATTTTATGATATTGAAACTGGACAAATGGTGTGTTCACATCTAGATGAAACTCCATATGAAAGTTGTGAGGAAAACTTGTTACTCCATAAGAAAATGTTGACATTAAAGTTGGAAGTCAAACCCGTAAGATGCATGCACCGTCTTAGAGTTAAACTAATTATGCTGTTTGATATCATTTCGTTTGAAAACTCAACACCTAGCTATGATCATCATCATTCTAAAGGCAGGAAAATGGGAAAAAGATGTACACAAATTGTCAACAAAAAGAGGGGAAAAGATTAAGAATAATGTACGCAAATGAAATTTAAACATAATATTTTTTTCAAATAAATCAGTCTTATTATTCCAATATTTGGCATTGGAAAGTTCTAAAATGCACTGCACTTGAAAATGTGAGTGCTTCCTTAATAATCCAAAAAATTACAAGCATCCAAAATGAGTATAAATGGGCATTAATATTGTTATCTCTCAATAGATCATTCTATTCATATGATTCACAGTGTTTTTTTTTGTAGAACCTACTGAAATGTCTACAAAAACTTCAGGGTGATTACAAGAGAATTATACGATTATAGTAAAATGAGACATTATTAAAAAATAATTTGAATAGTCAGTGCATTCATATAATCAGTCATTATCCAACAGTTGTTGCTAATAAAGGCATATATGGCCGATCATAAAAATACTCCCTTTGTCCTAAAATTAACTACTCATTTGACTTTTCACGGTCTCCAATGCGACACTTTGACCATTAATATCTCCATTTTTATATGAATATATATTGTCAAAATAATATATTTCAAAAGTATGTTTCAAAATGAATCTATTGATACTAAATTTATATGAAAATTCAGTATATTTTTTCTGTAATATGCAGTCAAAGTTTACAAACTTTGACTGCAAAAGTCAAAATGAGAAATTAATTTTAGGACGGAGGGAGTATGTCTCATACAGGAATAAAACATACTTGGTCATATCAGGAAAATGTATTAACTTTTAGTTTAATATGGTTCAAATTTTTCAAATATTAATTGCGTTGCGTAGATTAATCTTGGTCACCAAAGTTAAAAGTACGGAAATTTTAAAAATATCTCCAAATGGGAGGCCAAGGGAGAATTCAAGACTATAAAATAATCAAGTGCGTGGAAAAATAATTTTAGGACGGAAAGCATAATAGCCAAAATGTACCAAGAAAAACTTAACATTGTACCTTGTTTTTTAGGGTAGATTGCAATATCATACGGAGTATTATAGAGTAGAGCAATGTTAGAAATACACCAAAGTTGTACCCTAAATGTACACCACCCCCTTCTCCACCACTCATTTTTTTTTATTTTTAATCATTCATTTTTTTTTTTGAATTTCTTGCCTTTTTTTTTATGGACAATGAGGGGATGGGGGACAAATGGGGTACACATTCCTAGCATTTTTCTAGAGTATAGACACATTTTTTAATTCACAAAACGGAACTTCTATACATACAATTGTAGTATTACATGTATGACCATCAAATTGTATTATATTGTCTCCTCTATAGAGTATAGACACATTTTTTAATTCACAAAACGGAACTTCTATACATACAATTGTAGTATTACATGTATGACCATCAAATTGTATTATATTGTCTCCATCATCCTATGCCCTTATTTTTTAGTACTAAGAATATTGATATGTACTTTATGGTATAGGCATATACATACAAAAATTCATACAAGGCACAATCTACAAATGAATCAACAAAAAAAATTAGAGTGAGAAAGTATTATATTCAAGCAAGTAAAGTCTCCATGAACAAATCATCTCTAGGCTCTTCCTTGGCTTTAGTGTACATCATCTCATGGAGTTGATTGGAGTAGTTATTTTGTGGATACCCGAAATTGCCCCTACCGTTCGGAACCGGGTAAATAGAGTGATGAGGTACCGGGGAGGGCCTTATAGTCATTGCGCCACTATTACTATAGCTAGCGGTCCCACCTCCTCCTCCCCGGTTGAGGGATTGGGTCCCGCTGCCTCGTGCAGTGGGAACGTCGTGGTTGTGCTTCCCTTCGTAGGTTGTGATCACCGATCGTATATCTTGTGACGCTCTCTCGACGTGCTTCCTCACCCCGCATCCCGCGCTCGTGCACTTGTAATAGCTCCTAAACAAGTAATCACATGATTGTTATTCGTGTTGTCAGTATAAAACTCTTCCTAAACTTACCAGAGTAATTTACCTAAATAGGACTAACACATAATGACTTTTTTAATATAGGACCAAATGTTTTTATTTTCCAATGTAGGACCACTGGTCATTATTTATTAGTCATTATTCAACTAAATGTTCAGCATCACTTGGACATTATTCTTTTCACTAGTCATTATTAAGTCTTATTTAGGGAATAAAAAAGTTTAAGCCTACATTGGGAAATGACTTCTGTCTTAGTCTTATTCAGTGCAAATATCACAACTTACAATAATAAGTATGTGAATGTTTATAGAAATCAAGAACACACAAAATGTACCTTGGATTGGGGTTTCCTTTCACAACCTTTTGACCATACTTCCTCCACCGATACCCATCATCAAGAATATCGATATCGCTTGTTGTTTGAACCACCACCCTCGGCTCTCTCACCGTCCGGCTCACCGCCCCACAAATTCCTTCGCTTTCGGTTTCCGCTCTCCTGAAAAAAAGAATCATATGATCATTAATGACCCATTTGGTCACAAGAGAAAATGTTGAAAGCTACTCATATACAAGATATGTTTGTGTTGCTCTAATTCTTCAAACAATTGTCGCTTCTAGTATCCAAACGTTTCCGTTTAGGTACTTAATTGTACATTTTGAGACCTAAATCTATAGTACATGTCCGAGTTTCGTGCAACTTAGACATAAGCCGCACACCGGTCATAACTAGGGCTAGACTCAAGCCGAGTCTGGCCGAGTTCCGAAACCGCAGAACTCGGTCTCCCATGACGGTTTCTGGTCCGATTCCGGTTTGAAACCCGTGTCCATCCCTAATTCAGAGCTACCAAACGGAGCCTAAAAAAGGAAATCTCACCATCTCTTAGCCAAAGGTTCATCTTCCTCGACCTCCTCTCCACCGGAATCCCTCTTCTTGGAGCTCTGCTCATACTCATCGTCCCCGAAAGAAATCGAGGAGTTTTCAGGCGTGGCGACCGAGTCTATCTGGCTGTTGGACCAATAAGACTGCTGCTCCAGAACATCATTGCCTGGCGGCGGCGGCAGCGCCGAAGCAGAGGAGGCGGTGGAGGACGAAGACGGCCTCCTGGCGGCAGTGGACCGAGGAGGCCTGGGATGATCGTGAGAGCCTCTGTACACAATCTCTGTGATCTGCCCATCCAAACCCCTCTCCACCTTCTTCTTCGTCACGCAATTCGGGTAGGTGCACTTGTAATAGCTCCTCGGATTCTCGCTCCCCTTCACCTGTTTCTGCCCGTATTTCCTCCAGTTGTACCCGTCGTCCTCCTCCTTCGCCGCCGACGCCGCCTGCGGCGGCGGCGGCTGCCGGGAAGATTGAGAGTTCATCTGAACATGGCTGAACTCAACCCGTGAAACCCCGTCTCTGTCATTTCTTTCTTGATCGTTCTGATTCTAAAAGAAACAAAAGAAGCAATAAAAAAGGAGTCTTTTTTTACATCAATCAAGAATTTCAACATGGGGATCATTGCTGAGAAAAGAATTATGAAATTAAACCAATTCAGTCAAGAATTTGATTGAAAACTCACCATATAAAAAGGGTTGATGGGCTGAAAAGAGAAATCTGGGAATCCTTTATTACCATCTTGCTTCACGTCTTTTTGATGGGCAGTTGTTCTTGAAAGACTCTGCTTCCAGTCGAAATCTTGCGCCGGAAAAGTCCCCGTGGTCGGAGACGGCAAAGTCTGCAAAACCCAAAAAAACATAAAACATTAAATCTCCACACCTTAAAAAAAACAGCCGAGCTAAAAGAGGAAGAATCTTGGAAGATGTCGTCGTACGTTGGAGTGGGAGAGGAGAACAGGGGAGTCTAAGAGGACGCTGGGGCTCAAGCCGGGGGGGAAAGCGAAGTAGGAGGAGGGAGAGAGGGAGAGGGGAGAGAGGGGGAGAGACGGCGGCGGGAGAGATTTGAACTTGGGGACGCCGCCGGACCCGGTCCTTTCGGCTATACGATCGGAGAGTCCTCTGCTGTTGCCGGCGGCGGCCGGTAGTACGTCGGAGACTAGAAGGTCGGTGAAGGAAGAGGTCATGAAGGAGGAGGAGGTGGTGGTGGTTGAGAAAGAGAAGGTGGATGTGCCAGAAGAATCCGCCATTAGAAAATGAGAGAGACAGAGAGGGCGTTTGGATTGACCTCAATTCTGTATTTATATTGCATCTCTTTTTTTTTCTTTCTAAGTTTTCATTTTGTTTTTTGGTTGTCGAATTTTGGCCAACAACATTAGGTAACAATTATTACTCTTTCCGTTCGGAAATGTTCTTCCCATTTGACTGTTTACGGTTTTTGAGATTGTATTTTAACCACTAATATCTTTATTTATACATTGATATATTTTATAAAAATTTGATATTTGAAAACTATATTTCAAAATGAATATATTCATATTAAAGTTATGTCGTAATACGGAGTATAATGTATTTTTTCCACATATCATAGTCAAAGTTTACAAACTTTGACCAAGAAAACTCAAATGAGAAGAATATTTTCAGACAGAGAGAGTAGCAAATAGAGAGTATTTTCAATTGGAGTTGGTATTTTGAATAGTATTAATAAGACAGATTAATTTTGAAAATATTATCGCTATGGTAAATTCTTACGTGATCTTAGTTTACTTTTATTCTATAGACCTTATTGTATAACAGTTAGGATACTTTTACTCTAAATATTACGGAGTATACTCCAAATCGTACACCACAGGTATGCACTTCCATTTTATGTCAGTAGTGTGATAGTTCACATATGTACAAAATATTAGTAGAAAATTGTTTGATCGCACTAACATTTTGTGCGAATGTAAACCATCAAAATATTAGTGCAAACATATATTTTTTGGTGTAACTCTAACATGGTGGATTGTGCATCATTAAAAAATTGGGTCTTTTGCAAACACAAAACAATCTAATTATCAACTTATAAAAAATATGAGATCATATTTTATATATGAACATTGAGATCAGAGTAGTACAACTTTATCCTTAAATATGCATTTTTAAAGAAGCTAAGATATTGATCTTAAGAGAGTTTAAAACGTATTGAAAAATAATTTTTTTTATTGAAATTTATGTACAAAAGATTGATGAAATTTCCGGAGTATGTCAAATTTTTTTTTTGAAATATCTGCACTAATTAGCACTAAAACTTAAGACATTTTCTTAAATAGCACTTAAACTGTTTTATTCCCTATATAGCACTCTATAATGTCCATAATGTCCATTGATTATCAATATTTACTTAAATAATGACTAATAGCAAAATGTTTAAAAGAGCTAGATTGGAAAAAAACACATGTGATGAAGTCATTATGTTTTAGTGCTATTTACGTAAATTCTCTTTTTTTTGTTTAAAAAAGTTGGAAATATGAATAATTTATTTTGTGAATGGAAGGATAATTATGATAAGAGGGGCAAAAATAAAATGAGAGAAGTGAAAATGGGCACGTATTTGGCAGGGGTTGCCTTTTTTACGCAAAATATGGCGTGTGCCGTTTGCCCACAATTTCTGTGATATTTCCTCCTCATATATCACAAGGTTTGCATCTAGAAAGGGAAATAAAGAGGGCCCATTTTTAGATGCCGATTAAATAGGGTGCGAAGTACACTTGATGAAAGTGTGGGCCGCAGTTGAGATATTACTTGAACTAGAATTTTCTACATCATTGAAGTCCGAGCCTGACCCGCACTGATACTCGCGGGCTTTGGGCCAGCCTGATTCGCACGATAACAATTTATAAATAATTTTAAAAAATATTTTTTAAAATATATAGCAATTGATTAATATGTTAGGTGTTTGAATGTTTGATATGGCCCAAGCCCACCACGTATCTTAAAATATCAAGCCCAAGTCTTTAATTTTGCGGACGAGCTGGATACCTAAATCCGTGATCGAGTCTAGTGCGAAGTTATCATCTCCAAAAAAAATCTACGGAATCAGATGCAAAAATTAGTAGTAGAAACCTAATTTACGGAATACTAATTTCAAATAATTTAATATGGAAAATAGTGTAGAATTAAAAAACAAAAATTGTATACTTAAAAATTACTTCCTCACTCTGGAAATGTTCTTCACATTTAACTTTTCTTGGTCAACGTTTGTAAACTTTGACTCAGATTTGTGAAAAAAATACATCGTATTAATATCAATATAAAATCTAATGAAACATAGTTTTGAAATATCAATTTTTAATAAAATATACTATCTATACATAAATTTTGATATTAATGGTTAAAGTGCAATATTGAAGACCGTGAGAAGTCAAATGGAAAGAATATTTTCAGACGGAGGAAGTACATCAAAAGGTCTATAAAACTAGTGGTGACATTACTATATTATTTTATCAAATGACTAATGAAAATAAGAAAGGTGAATAATGTTTGGTCTTTTGAATAGTAAACAAGCAATTTAATTTGGGACGAAGGAAGCAGTACATAATTTATCTCCCGGTTCTTAGAAAGAGTTTTGAATATCCTCTGTGTATCATGTATCAATACAATAACTATGATGATTCAAAAAAAATTACAATAACTATGATCAACAGGAACTATGATAGTCCGATGCCTTCCCGGCTACCACTGTTTACATTTCTAATTTTCTATTAAATACATTTGAAGTAATCAAAGTATTGAATAAAAAAATTAAAGCTCTTTGTTCAAATTTGCAGTGGGAGAGCCAAAAAAAAGGTGATAAGGGACTGTGTTTTTTTTGTTATTCCCAAAACTTTCTTTTATAAAGGAATATTACAAAAAGAGATAGAACCACAAGAAGATCACAAGGGCCTGGGAAAAGAGTGATTCTGAACCTGTTTCTAGGAACAAATTGATTCTGGAACCCAATTGTATACATACGGCTGCTCTGCAATCAGCGATTCAAAATCACACTATCAGTAAACACCCAAGAATGAGAGAATTTTATATCCTCAACTTGGTTATAACCTTTTTTCCGGCGGTCTCTTGGAAAAGAGGTTTTCTGCTTCTAAGGGTAAGGTCTGTGCACGGCTTTCCCAGATTTCGAGTGATCCTAATGTCTTTGTTGTTGTCTTGTTGGTTGTTAACTCTTTTTTATGACTAAATTTGGTCATTGACTATGAAATTCGAGCACAATTTAACCCTTATGCATACTTAGTAGTAGTTCTTAAGAAGCAAGGCGTTTTTATCCATTGTCTAATCTTTTACTCAATTTGGTCTTGAACTATGTGATTTGGAGCCAATATAGTCATGAACAATACTCCCTCCATCCCAGATTAATCTTCCCGTTAGCTTTTTCACGTAGTTTACGAAAAATGAAATTGTCTGATTGAGATTTATGAATAGGAGAGAGAATCAATATGGACTTGTTCCATTCCTTGGAAGTTATTTTGGGACACCCAAAAAAGAAATTAAAAAGATTTCTTTGGGAAGGAGAGGGTAATAAACTACTCAGTGCAGCCCCACACAATAGTGTCTATGATTGTTTGCAAAAGACACTCTATTTGTTTAGTCATCACCATACGAATTTTTTAATCAATTAAAGCAAAATATGGATGAAGGCCAAATCAAGTCAAAGTTTCATAACTAGACATGTTTTTCTAGACTTATTCTCGGTTCAGTTTGATAAATTTCAGTTGAGTTCACTTCAAACAAAAATATTCATTTTTTGAATTCAGTATATTTCAATTCAAAAGTTATACCTCGCATTTTATGGGCCAGAGGGGATAAAGAGTATAAGAAACAAAAAGGTAGCCACTTAGGGCAAGCAATGCCAACACAAATAATGTTACCTGAGCCATTATTGAATTTCCTTTGTAAATGGTGCATGATCTCTCGAAGGGGCAGCCCTTCATCCTCAAATCAGTCTTTCTATCTTCATTGTTTTCATCAGCAATAAAAACCTCAAACTCTTTCTCAGTAATTGTATTTGTAATCCTTTCCACTTTGAACATCAATTCACTGTCCTCACTGCTATTTCCCTTGAACACTTCCCACTTCCCTTTCTACAACAACCAAATAATACAATAATAGAGCATTATTACATACCCCACCATATACTCCCATGACCATAACTAAAATCTATTACTCCATTTGGTCATCAACTATTGTACCACTCTTTTTTGTCTGTACCTATGCACTTTGGACCAATTCAATTCACACCGCATATGGTTAAAAAAAGAAGTTTATTTTGAATGACCTAGTCATGATTGGAGGCAATTGTGTCTAAAGACTAATTTGAGTTTATATGGCATAGTCGAAGACGAAATTGATTCCAAAAGAAAGTTGATGACCCAATATATCAAGTAGTCTAGGGACTGAATCTGGTATGAACTTTAAAACTAACCGGTGCCAGCAGAAATTATAGGGATTTGAGAAAGACTCACACTAACTCGAACAACATTAACAAGTGTATCACCGGCAGCATCAATGATCAATTTCTGGTAATGGGGATCAGAGGAAGATTCACTTGATCCGCTTTCAACCTCAAACAGCAAATTGCTAAAGGAATCAGTGAAATGGAAGGTACCATCCCCGCAAAACGCATTGTGTTTCTTTAACACAAAGAGATCAAATGGAACTCCTATCTCTGGCAGATATTCACTATCCACTCTACCTGTAGTTCCCATCACTAAAATAAGAAACTAAATACCATGTGCAGTACAACTAAATAAAGAGTAAACATGAATAGAAATGTGTATCTAGAAATACATATTGGAAGAAAATGAGTGCTTACCATAAAGTGGTTTTATCAAAAGCTGCCCACTTTAATGTTTCTTTTCAACCCCAAAATTTTTAAAATACATATATTAAAAATAAAGAAATGTGAAGTGTTTTTAGTGGGTCAACAATTTCTTTAATTGTTTACAAATTCTAAAAAGAATATATTACTTTTTGAAGATTGCAAAAGCAGCAGTGCAGCACATTCAACTATATAGTATTCATGATCAAGTGTATGTAGAGCACATCACTCCATTTACTCCGAAGGATGGATTTTGACTTTCTTTCTTCTTCTTTTTTAAGTAGAACAGAGAAAATATTGATTCTTTTAAACTGGGTGCCGGTTAGATTCAAACTCGTAATCTCAAAGTCAACAAGATGTTGATACCATGATAATTAACGAATCCAACCACTAGATCATGTTTGTGGTTGTAGGTTCAAGAAAGGTTTTCATTCTCTAACAGCTTCATAAGTCATTGGTCTCTATCTACAATCATATTAAATTAAAACTGACAACTACAAAGTGCTGAATTGCTAATGATCTGGTCTTACTATATACTCCCCTACTATACATGAAGTGTATTGTTCATGTTGTAGTTAGAATCAATCACCTCCAAATACATAATTTACACCGTATTTCTTTACTTTGATCTCCTTAAAAATAACTGTGTTTAAGAGATTCAAAATGAATATCTTTGAGACATTTCTTCAAACAGTTGGTGTGTTGATAGACATCTTAAGATATCAAAACCAACTATGATCGCATATTACGATGTAGCCACTTGTTATCATCAAAATGAAATTAAAAAAAACAAATTGAAGCAAAAATTTACCTGGAATGAATGAATTTCATTCGTCTGAAACGGAATCTAATTCATGAGTTCAGTCCTGATTGTGCACGTTTCGTGAGAAGTTGGGAAAGGAGAATCATTCTTGAGAGAGAGGGAGAGAGAGGGGTATCCAAGTCAAGAAAGTCAATAATAGTTTTTCTTAGCTCTAAAGTCAAATTAGTCAAGAATAAATCTACATTATTAAAAATTAAAATTTTATTCAAAATGTTAACGCAAATCGAGAATATTATTTCCAAACAAAATCTTAGAATGTTTAAAGAAAAATATTTTTGGTGTAAGAAATAAGAATTTCTGACTCGATATAACTCAACGTTTACGAGAATAATATCTATAAATTTTTTCTTTACGTCTTAAATGGTTTCAAAACTCTTTTGCATCAAATTAATTAGTTATTATAAATTCATCAATTTCTTTTGAAAAGAATACTTAACTAAAAACAGAATATGTTCTAAATACCTTTGCCAAGTCTTCAATATTTTTGAAGACTCTTTCCAATTTTGAAATTGACATAAGACAATAGTGTTTAGAATGAAGTTTGAAGCAAAATAAATGAAAAAATTATGGTGGAGTAGATCAGAGTTGGGGATGACAACTTCCGATGTATTAAATTCTGGCTTTCAAACTCTGCGTCTTCTGCAATGATCTCTCAAAAATTGAAACAAAGTAGTTAGTTCTTAAAGTATGGATTTAAGGAACTATAGCCAAGGTCTGACCACGTTGGTTTTTTAAAAAATGGATAAATTTCATCATAAAATCCTTATCTCAACTGAACCTAACAATACTTTAGAAGGAAGTGAATATAATTTTAGTTTTAGACTAATCAATAAAGAATGACAACAGTCCTTTGCTTGGCACGTGAAAATGGTTCCAAGTTGTGCATGATTTCTTCGTCGTAATTCAAACATGACTCTCTTTTGTACCTTTGACTAATTAAGCTACACCCCAGGCCGGCAACCATATCTCTTTCTCGAGTGTATGCACATTGATCAGTTTGATAAAGAAGAGAAGGCAAACGTAAAGTTCAAGCATTCTGTTGCAGCAAATTACGTTAGTGAAGAGGCAAGGCTGAATTATGGATAACTGAGATATTTTTTAAAGGGTGAACCCAAACTCACAAAGTCTTTACGACTGTTCCGAACAGTTCTCGTAGTAGGGTAGAATGATATGAACAAAGTTATAATCTCGACAATGTTTTTGCTTTCCACCTTGATTTTTGTGCAAAATGAAATTCTTTCTCCCTATGAAATTATTCTTTCCGCTTGTTTTTTATGTAGTTTAAGAAAAATAAAATTATTTAATAAAAATTAATTGACAGAAAAGAAAATTAATATGGATCACTTATTCTATTTCGTATTAATTTTAAACAATGAAAAATTTCTTTTGGAACAATCCAAAAAGAAAAATCAAAAGATTAATATTCGACAGATGAAAAAGTGTGTGCAAAATAAAATGCTCTTAAAATTTACTCCGTATTTTATTTAAAATTGGTATAGAGAAAAACTTATATGAGTATTTGAAATACGGAAAGACACGTGTGCTGTGTAAAAAATTTAGATCTCTCTTCTTCTTCTTCTTCTTCTTCTTCATCACTCTGCCAGTCTCCCTGTATCCTCCGTTAAACCCTATACCCACAAATCCCGCACCCCCGCGTTTCACGCCATGAATCCATCGCTTCTCCTCCCAGCCAACCCATATCCGAACCGCGCAATTCTCATCCCCCATTTCCTCAACCCCACCCCTGTCCGCCTCGCCGCCGCCTCCCGCAACCGCCGCAGCCACCGCGTTAGAATCCCAAGCGTTCGTTCATCTTCCGACAATCCATCTACATCAACTGATTCTTCTTCTTCTACTTCTACTTCTTCCATCACTGGCGCTGCGGTTCCTATCAAGCCGGATGTGTTCGGAGGCAAGAGGGAGCTGTCCGGCATTCAGTTGCTGGTGGACTCCATGCCACCCCCGGTTAGGATTGCTAGTTCGACTCTTTTGTTTGCAGGCGCAGTAGCTGCCGGGTATAGTCTTGGAATTAGGTTTGGTGGGTCCCGTAATGCCGGATTCGGTGGGGCTGTGGCCCTTGGAGCTGCCGGAGCTGGCGCGGCTTATGCTCTGAACTCTTGTGTACCTGAGGTTGCGGCGGTGAATTTGCATAATTATGTGGCGGGTTGCGATGATCCGTCTGCTTTGAAGAAGGAAGCAATTGAAGCTTTAGCAAATAAGTCAGAATCTGATCAATCTGTTGGCATACTCTTTTCATTTTTCTGAGTTATTTTCTAAGTTCTTAGTTTAATTTTTTTTAGATATGGAGTCAACAAACAGCATGAGGCCTTCAATGCAGAGCTTTGTGATATATACTGCCGGTGAGTCAAACCTTTTGAACAATACTTTCAGAAGTAGCTTTTACATTATTTATTCTAACGTAGAAGCTAACAAGTTGCAAGAAGCTGATTTTTTCATGCATGTTCTAGGTATGTATCTGCTGTCATTCCTCCCGGGAATGATGATCTTACAGGCTATGAGGTGGAAACTATAACAAAATTTAAAAATGCATTAGGCATTGACGATCCGGATGCAGCAGCTATGCATATGGAGGTATTCTTATGTTATTTTTTTTCAACATTAAACCTAACAAGGTGAGGCAGGTAGATGCATTTACATAGGGCTGTGTTGGTATTCATCATATTTTTCAAAAAAACTAATCAATTGTTCTATTTCAGATTGGTAGGCGCCTTTTCAGGCAAAGACTTGAAACTGGAGATCGTGATGCTAACATGGAACAGAGACGGGTGATTCATTACTTTAGTTACAAAAAAATTGAATATGGAGTATTAGATCTAGTAGGCTCCTGCTTGCTTTTTACCAAGTGATAAAACATGACCATTTTTAACATATTCAGTGCAGGCATTTCAGAAGCTGATATATGTTTCTACCCTTGTATTTGGAGATGCTTCTTCTTTCCTTTTACCTTGGAAACGCATGTTCAAGGTCTCTGAGTCCCAGGTATAAGATTTATTTTTCTCCTTTACTTTTCATATGTACCCAAGCTGTAAGAATATTTTAAAATGTGAAACCTGATAGTATGTCTTACACCATGGGGTGATGGTCAACTGAAAAAAGGTGTATTGTTTGTGGGGATAACCTTGTTGAGTCTCATGTTGTCAACTGTGTTTTAATGTTTTTTTAAGGTTGAACTTGCTATTCGTGAGTGTGCACAACGGCTTTATGCTACCAGACTTAAATCTGTTGGACGAGGTATTGCCATCGCTATGGTATCTCCGTATCTCTGTGCTATAGTTCACTACTCCTGAACTCAAAGAATTATTTTATGTGAATTATTCAAATATGAGCAATGCATTTGTTTTCCACATCTTTTAATGCTAAGAGGAGTGAGGTATGCACATGTTGTCCATTGGAAAAAAAGATCCCATGGTATTGCTATGTTGAGTTGCTTCTTGGATCAATTCATTAATTTATCAACTTTTTTCACAGATGTCAGTGTGGACCAACTTGTTAGCCTCAGGGAAGCACAACTTTTGTATCGTCTTAGTGATGAGGTATTGCTTCCAGTTCATGCTACTTATTTTGATAGTATAAAATAAGCAATTACCCATTTTAGTTTCAAATTGTTGTTTGAATTCTGTTTTACTCTCTCGGTCCAAAAATTATCTTCCCGTTACGTGTTACAATGTTTGACTGAAATTATTTTCAAATCATTTTATATAAAAAATGGTATGAATAAAAAAATAAAAATTATATATTTAAAAACTACATCAAAAGATCTACAAAACAAGAGGTGACGTGACTATATTATTTTATCAAATGGGCAATGAAAATAAGTCAACAAAGTGAATAAAGTTTGACCCAGTGGATAGTGAGCGGGAAGATAATATTTGGATGGAGGGAGTATGATGCTTTTCAAGCATATAATGTCCTCCATATTGGGGGTTCAATTAAAAACCATAATGGCATGGCAATTTTTATCCATTTTGTAATAGGCGGAGGAGATTACTATTCTTTAATTGCTGAACTGAACTCCCACATATTGAATGTTTGAAAGAAATGACACTCTAACCATTGAATTGAAGAGAACTAGAGAAGTCATTCACATAGAGGAATGCAATAGTGAATTTTTACTATTCACCTTTCAACAGTTGAAGACAATTCATTTTCAGATTGGCATTGGGTATGAAGTATGAAATAGAACTATTGTCTAAGGAGTAAGGACTAGAGGGAAATGATGCATGTTTTATAAACTAGATCTGTGATAACATGTTTCCAATGAAACTAATGACCATCTATATCTCAACCCAACATATGCACACCTGTTGATAATATTCTTTTTTGTTGCAGCTTGCAGAAGGGATGTTCAGGGAGCATACGAGAAAGCTTGTAGAAGAGAACATATCAAGAGCTTTAACCATATTGAAGTCCAGGACAAGAGAACCGTATGACTACAGCAATCTATGTTTCTGTTGACTTTGTCTAAAGTTTCTTCTCCAACAACAACAACAACAACAACAACAACAAACCCAGTAGAGCCCACAAGAGAGTAGGGTTTGGAGAGGGTGTGTGCATCCGACCTTACCCCTACTTGAAAGTAGAGAGACTCCAAAGTTCCTTCTCCAATAAAAAAACACTTTTAGTAGCACCTAATACCTAATGTCTAACTTGTTCCCAATTCATTGAAAGTATGAAGGTATGTTCAATAAGCCAATTCTCTAAAATGAAAATTTACAACAACCCAGTAGAATCCCGATCCCACTGAAGTAGGGCCTGAGGAGGACATGTGTATGCAAATCTTATCCCTATTGAAAGGTTTTTATTATTCTCTGGATGTGGGTAAAAAGGATAATTTGGGAACTAGTTTTGGATGGTGTCAAGTAATGTCTGAGTGCCTACATCCGATCCCCCTTCCCCTGAAATAGGCAGGAGCCTTTGAGGCAGTGGGGTAATGTTGTTGTTGTTGAAAGAAGTTGTGGTTTCTCATGCCAAGTATTATGCTAATATGTTACGAATTAATCATGGAGCATTGAGAATCTTTTTTCTTGTTTTTTCTTTCACTGTTCTTCGTTCTGTGTTGTTTATTGTTTGTAATTTTTGAAGTATAATTTTCGTGTGATTCTCAGTGGGGAAGCTACACTTGTCATTGAAGAGCTTGAGAAAATTTTGGCTTTTGAGAATTTGCTAATCTCATTGAAAAATCATTCTGATTCCGGTCGTTTTGCACGAGGAATTGGGCCTGTTTCATTGTCAGGTCAGACTTTAGCCTTTCCTCTTTATTTTCTTTACCAGTATTTGTGCATCAT